TGAGAAGTACTTCACTTCACGGTAGCTCATCTTATACGGACGCAGTGCAAATCCCAGAATAACGCCTGTGGAGAGAGGAGGGGTGATTCTTCTGTGGGGACGGATGTCTGAGAAGGTTGAGATGAACACACCTACAACTACGGCTCCGACAGTGAAGAGCACAAAAGCGTTCTTCTTCAGGAAGGCCTGGATGTCCTCTTTTGAAATCTCCTCTACTTTCCTCTTGGCCTTCATGGTCCGGATGTGAATTCCCTCCCTGATGCGCTGCATCCTGCTCAAACACAAGACACAGCAAAGAGGCTCTGGTTTAAAAGCACCAAATCTCCTGACGTTTGTACGAGTTCTGTTGGAATATCTCCCTGATTCTGTGGAGCGGGACAGGTCTGTCTGCTGTCTGAAGCAGCTGATCTTCTGAAGGGAGCTGTCCCTTTAACAGACACTGAATCAAACTAGTCCCTCAAGAGCAGAAAACACATTAAAAACAGAAATCATGACAATCATGAATAAAATCCATGAAGGATATGAACTAAAATCTAATTATTCATAATTACAAGTTGAAGGAATTCACTAAAAAACAAAACTCTACTTAAAAGGTCAAAAAAGATGCTTGAAATGTTTTCCCCACACTTAGTAATAATGAAAGTTTACGTTTGGTGTTGAATTTTAAACAACACGAGTTAAAAAGTCAAATATTAAACCGTTCGGGTCCCATGACTGTAATTCCATTGGAATGCTAAAGGAAAACCAGGATGGAGAAAATACATCATTTATCCGACTTTCCCCTCAAAATATCCAATAAACGTGTTTTTATTCAGCTGCTGTCAAAAGTTTAACTTCACTAAATAGTAGATGATTTGTTGTTCTTAAAGATTTTCTCTGATTTGGATTTAATTTTATTTCTTTATTTTTTAGCAACCTGGAACAGGAAAAAAAGACTTTCTTAGAAGAAGAAATCATTTTCATGCAGCGCCTCTCAAGATTAAAATACAAACAAACAAAAAATAAAAAGTCATTTTAAAAAATCGGGAGGGAAAGGGAAAAAATGGAAAATTTAGATTTAAAAAATGAGAAGGAAGAAAAAAAAGAATAAGAAAAGATGGCGATCCCGGGAAAGGCGGAATAAGTTGAAAGAGCAGAACAAGGAGAGGGTGGTGAAGGTCCCACCAAAGCCTGAACAGGTGAGTTTAAAGGAGACCACTGAGTCCACTGATCTCAGGCTCAGGGGGAGAGAGGTCAAGAGTCTGGGGTCACAGCAGCAGATGATCTGTCACCTTTGACCTTTAGCCTGGTGCTGCACAACCAGTAGGCTTTGGTCACTGGACCTCAGGGACCTGCTGGGGGTGTAGGGACTGAGAAGATCACCAATGTGAGATGGTGCTTGTCCATGTAAAGCCCTATAGACCAGAACCAGGATCTTGAAATGAACCCTGAAGTTGACTGGCAGCCAGTGAAGCTGGAGGAGAAGCGGGGTGATGTGGGTGTGTTTGGAGGACTTGGTCAGAAGCCGAGCACAGGCGTTCTGAGATAGATTCAGAGATCTATGAATTATCAACCCAACATGAATAGTTTCACTGTAAAAACTAAATACCGGACAGCCGTAGGTCTTATATCCTAACCTGTTACAGGACACAGCAACCCTGAGCTGGGACCGACCCAACAACTCTTCCAACATCCCGCTCCACCTCCTGCTGCTCCCTCACACATGAAACGTTCATTCAGAACGTGTGTGACACTAAATCCATTTACATTTTATTAAACATCTTCTCTGCTTTCTGGGAAGCTTGGGTTTAACACGAACATTTTACATCCTTTAAAAAGACAAAAGCATCATCTGAAAGGACTTTGTTCTGTTCTTCAGCAGCCCTGGGATCAATTTTTGAAGGAAATCACACAGCTGATCACGTACCTGTTTGGTCACGTGTTTCCTCTTCAGCACAGGTCTGTGAAGCTGCAGAGATGTTGGAGAGTTTCTGGAGTTTCTGCAGGTCTGATGTGAAGCATGGGAAAGATCTCCTTCACCACCTGAGATCAGAGGAGATTCATCCAGGAGACGTGAGAGGGAGGGAGGAAGACAAAGAGGACAAATCTCCTCCAATAGCCACCCCGTGACACCGTTTCAGGGGTAGCTTTTACCTGTCTGAAGAAAGGTCCATCTCCCCTCACCACAATCCTCGTCCCTCCTGTACTTCATGGTTTCAACATTTTAGTCGTTTTATTCTTTTTTCTTTTTGCCAGAAAACAGTAAAAATGTTGAAATGATGCTGATCACCTCATTGGGGACGTGTTATAGTTTGAGATAATCCCTCAGAGGAAACCAGACCACAATTAGCTGAATAAAGTGGATCTGGAGCTGAGTGACCTCATCGTGTGAAGAAATAACCTCCAGAGAAACGAACGTAATTAGTTCAGAAAAACCCCAAATCAGGTCAGAGAGACTTTTACAAACAGGATTCCCACGAGGCATTCATGAGTGAATGTTTTTGTAGAACATCAGAATAATCTGTGAGCACCTTTTAATCCTTCGGATTAAGAACCCGTTCTGAAATTCTTTAGGTGGTAAATGGTAAACACCTGCATGAAGTTCCAGAACTCCAACGCACTTTACATTAATCCATTCACACATTGGTGGCTCAGGAGGGCTGTCCTGTATCGATCCCAGCTTCCTCAGAATTGTGCTGTTGTGTCCTTGGGCAAGATATATGTCCACGTTGGTGGAGATCTGACAGAGTCTGGATTTGAACCGGCAACTCACCAGTCACAAGGCGAACAACTCCTGAGCCCCCATCTGCTACTGAAACTTTAACCAAAAATAACATTTAAAAAAAATCTTGTAACAAGTGTGTTTTCTAAAGATGTTCAAGAAATTCTACATATTTCTGCTTGTTTGTTCAGACATTTTATGGATCAAAATACTGTCTTAAAATAGAAAGCCATTGATTTAACAACAATAAATGAAAGTCCTTCTTCATATAAAAACTTCAACTGTTCAGGTTTGAAGAATCAGTTTTTATTCAGGAATTAAGAATGAAAAATGAGATTTTGTGGAAGGAAACAAATTAAAATCACAAATTTCTTCATCTGTGTGTGGACATTTGCCCTAAATCTTTCGTTTTAGGATTATGCTTTTACATAAAACGATCTTCATTCAAACGACAAACTAGAGCCGACAGAACTCGTTCCTGTTTTATTTTGTAGGAGCAGCCAAAACATCCGCCGTCGTTGCGTCACTTTGACCTTGCGCTCGTGTAGCCAATCAGGAGAAGCTGTACGTATCTCACGTAAGATTAGACTATATGCCAGGCTGTGTCGTGCGTGTTTGCACGTCTCTCTTGTTGTTGGTTTATTCTTTAGTGCTTTTGTGTTACTTCGTGTTTTAAATGGTTGATTGTCTTCCTGCTGCGTGAATTTGGTTTTCGGTAAGAGTTCAAGCAGTTTAGAATTAGTGGTTCTGTGGTTTTACGATAGTTAGCCAACTGCTAGCTACTTTTAGCTTGTTTAGCTAAGTTTACCAGCTAGTTGGATGAGGAGGTAAACAACTAGTTAACTTTTGGTGTTTTCTTACAGACACACTCAGCTCTGACCCTGATAACCGGGTGACCTTCAGCCCACGGAGCTCGACACTGGCAGAATGTCGCCTCTTTAACGGGAAGCCGAGCCGCTTGACTCCCGTTCGAATCAGATCATTTGGCTCTAGGTTCGGACTGGTTGAGGGATGGCCCACCGCTCGCTGGTGAACCTGCTGTTATTCGGGAATCGAACCATCAGCTGCATATTCGCTCTTCGGTCTCTCCGCACCGTGGCGTGCGGAGCTTCATCGGCACCGACAGCCGGCTTCAAGCCGGATAAAGTAGCGGTGGTCACCAAGACCACCCGGTATGAGTTCGAACAGCAGCGGTACCGGTACGCTGGACTGTCCGAGGAGGATCTGAAACAGTTGGTAAGGACCTGGGACACTCTTCACAAACTTCATCCTCAACTCTCACCCAGTCCAGAACCCCTGACCCAGACCAGAACCCCTGTCCCAGTCCAGAACCCATGTCCCAGTCCATATCTACTAACCCAGTCCAGAACCCCTGTCCCAGTCCAGAACCCCTGACCCAGTCCAGAACCCCTGACCCAGACCAGAACCCCTGACCCAGTCCAGAACCCATGTCCCAGTCCAGAACCTCTGTCCCAGTCCAGAACCTCTGTCCCAGTCCAGAACCCCCGACCCAGTCCAGAACCCCTGACCCAGACCAGAACCCCTGACCCAGTCCAGAACCCCTGACTTAGTCCAGAAACCCTGACCAGAACAACTAACCCAGTCCAGAACCCCTGACCCAGACCAGAACCCCTGACCCAGTCCAGAACCCCTGACCCAGACCAGAACCCCTGACCCAGTCCAGAACCCCTGACCCAGACCAGAACCCCTGTCCCAGTTCAGAACCCCTGACCCAGACCAGAACTCCTGACTTAATCCAGAACCCCTGACCCAGACCAGAACAACTAACCCAGTCCAGAACCTCTGACCCAGACCAGAACCCCTGACCCACACCAGAACCCCTGACTTAGTCCAGAACCCCTGACCCAGACCAGAACAACTAACCCAGTCCAGAACCCCTGACCCAGTCCAGAACTCCTCACCCAGACCAGAACAAATAACCCAGTCCAGAACTCCTAACCCAGTCCAGAACTCCTAACCCAGACTAGAACTCCTGACCCAGTCCAGAACTCCTAACCCAGACCAGAGCCACTGACCCAGGCCTCCTTATGAACCATCCTTCCCAGCAGTCAGACTTAGTGGTTCTGAATCATTAGTTCTCAATATGTTCTGAATTCTGACCTCACACACACACACACACACACACACACACACACACACACACACACACACACACACACACACACACACACACACACACAATTCTTTCTCAGAGATGTGGCCATTCTTATTGGAATCCAAGCAAAATATCAGAGAACATAGAAAAGCCCAGGTCCTGGTTCTGGATGGATCCATGCCCCTTATGGCTTCTTCACATCAGACCCTGTTCGGTCTAGTTGGGTCGGTCTGCCAGGTTTTGTTCACACCATGATGTCTGCGGTTCACGATATCCTTCTCAGGAATGCGGATGTGGGCGGGGCAAAGGATTAGTGGAGAAGTCTGTGGTGTCCTCCAGTTAAGCCCTATTCCCACTTGTACCGGGTCGGCCCGGGCCGGGTAGCGTAGGTTGTTTACATATCTGGGTGGCCTGGTATTTTTCCGGGCCAACCGAGGCTCATTCTCAGTCCTCTTCTCGAGGGGGTCTGCTTCAGGCCGACCAGGGCCAACACACCCACTGCTGACAGCAAATTCACACCTTCCATTAGAGCAAGCCTCTGATTGGTGGGTAGAATCAGCCCACATGGGCTTAAGACAAGCTCAGTTCATTATCATTCATTATCATGCTGATTTCCCAGAAGCTGAAAGTGTCTCTGACTGCATTCCTTGCATACCTAAGCAAGGATGTGTGGAATCAACCGGGCCAGGCTGGGGCCGACTGGGGCTACCCGGCCTGGGCCGACCCGGTACAGATGGGAATGGCCCATAACAAAAAGCTGTCGTGAGCCGCGTCGTTTTTGGGGACTCTGATATTGGTTCCTGCTCTCTCACTGAGACTGCTGCATGTGCTCCTCACAGCAGTTTGTCCTCGCGCTGCAGCTGGTTCTACCTGCCAATCAGAGGCTGGCCCTAATGATAGGCGTGAGTTTCATCTAGCCAATCAGTCAGCAGTGGGTGTGTTGGGTCAGCCTGAAGCAGACCGCAGGGCGAGGAGGTCAGGAACGATGGTCGCTTCACCACAGAAAACACACGGGCTACACTGATGTGAACACAACACACCCCATCAGGGTGGGTCCGCGCCGACCCAGGTGTGAAGGTGCCAAAAGGTGGTTCTACAGGTGAACCCAAAGGTGGTTCTACAGGTGAACCCAAAGGTGGTTCTACAGGTGGACCCAAAGGTGGTTCTACAGGTGAACCCAAAGGTGGTTCTACAGGTGAACCCAAAGGTGGTTCTACAGGTGGACCCAAAGGTGGTTCTACAGGTGAACCCAAAGGTGGTTCTAAGGGTGGACCTACTGGTGGTTCTACTGGTGGACCCAAAGGTGGTTCTACAGGTGAACCCAAAGGTGGTCCTACTGTTGGACCCAAAGGTGGACCCACTGGTGGTTCTACTGGTGGACCCAAAAGTAGTTCTACTGGTGGACCCAAAGGTGGTTCTACAGGTGGACCCAAAAGTAGTTCTACTGGTGGACCCAAAGGTGGTTCTACAGGTGGTTCTAAGGGTGGACCTACTGGTGGTTCTACTGGTGGACCCAAAAGTAGTTCTACTGGTGGACCCAAAGGTGGTTCTACAGGTGAACCCAAAGGTGGTCCTACTGTTGGACCCAAAGGTGGACCCACTGGTGGTTCTACTGGTGGACCCAAAAGTAGTTCTACTGGTGGACCCAAAGGTGGTTCTACAGGTGAACCCAAAGGTGGTCCTACTGTTGGACCCAAAGGTGGACCCACTGGTGGTTCTACTGGTGGACCCACTGGTGGTTCTACTGGTGGACCCAAAGGTGGTCCTACTGGTGGACCCACTGGTGGTTCTACTGGTGGACCCAAAGGTGGTCCTACTGTTGGACCCAAGGTGGTTCTACTGGTGGACCCACTGGTGGTTCTACAGGTGGTCCTACTGTTGGACCCAAAGGTGGTTCTACAGGTGGTCCTACTGGTGGTTCTACAGGTGGACCCAAAGGTGGTCCTACTGTTGGACCCAAGGTGGTTCTACTGGTGGACCCACTGGTGGTTCTACTGGTGGACCCAAAGGTGGTCCTACTGTTGGACCCAAGGTGGTTCTACTGGTGGACCCACTGGTGGTTCTACTGGTGGTCCTACTGTTGGACCCAAAGGTGGTTCTACTGGTGGACCCACTGGTGGTTCTACTGGTGGACCCAAAGGTGGTCCTACTGTTGGACCCAAGGTGGTTCTACTGGTGGACCCACTGGTGGTTCTACAGGTGGTCCTACTGTTGGACCCAAAGGTGGTTCTACTGGTGGACCCACTGGTGGTTCTACTGGTGGACCCAAAGGTGGTCCTACTGTTGGACCCAAGGTGGTTCTACTGGTGGACCCACTGGTGGTTCTACAGGTGGTCCTACTGTTGGACCCAAAGGTGGTTCTACTGGTGGACCCACTGGTGGTTCTACAGGTGGTCCTACTGTTGGACCCAAAGGTGGTCCTACTGGTGGACCCACTGGTGGTTCTACTGGTGGACCCAAAGGTGGTCCTACTGTTGGACCCAAGGTGGTTCTACTGGTGGACCCACTGGTGGTTCTACAGGTGGTCCTACTGTTGGACCCAAAGGTGGTTCTACAGGTGGACCCACTGGTGGTTCTACAGGTGGTCCTACTGTTGGACCCACTGGTGGTTCTACAGGTGGTCCTACTGTTGGACCCAAAGGTGGTCCTACAGACCGACATGCTTTGACACTACACCTTTTCTCTGTCTCCATACATTCTTTGTTCGAGTGTTAATGGTTGTTGTGTTTTGCAGCTAGCGATGAAGGGTTCCAGCTACAGCGGCCTGCTGGAGAGACACAACATCCACAACAACAATGTGGAGCACATAGTGAAGAGTCTGCAGTAGGTGATGGTCCAGGTGGTCTGGTGGGACTCAGCTGTTACCCTTACAGCCTGAACTCTGAAATGTGTCTGTTTGTAGGAGAGAAGGCATCCAGGTCCGGGTTGTGAAGAGAGGAGAGTATAATGAAGAGGTGGTGCGATGGGCGGATGCTGTGATTTCAGCTGGAGGTAAAAACCATAACAGGTTTTACAGACGCTGATGGGACGAACCGTCCCTCTGGAGATCAGGGGACGGCTCTTTAACCAACTCAGAACATTGAGACTAACCCGATAAATCCCTGCTTGACAGCAACCCCAACGATGTTCAGGTGGTTTCAATCCTCTGTAATCCAAGCAAGGAGCAGTAAGCGAGGTGGGCAGCCCCGGCTAATCGATGCTAGATGAGTGAGAGTGGAAGGAAAGGACAGAGCCTCCTCCTCCTCCCGGGAGGAGGAAGAATGAATAAATCCTGCCTACGAGGACTACTCAGACATCAGAACTGCAACAAAGACCACCAGCTGTTTGATTAAAGCTGTGCAGCTGGTGCTATCTAGGTAGAACGCCGAGCATTTACACGTTTCCATGGCAACGCCGGAAGTCCATTTCAGCTCTCCTCATATTTTATTCTAGTTTGCATCATTTATGTGTCGTTACCGTGTTCTGTTCCTGGGTCTGGATGTTTAGAGGGCTTTGTTTTTGCTGAGCAACTGTTCGGATTGGGCGTGTTCCAAATTTTAACACCGTCTAGCTTCCTCCGCCTTTCACCACGGTGTACGGTATTACCGGGACTAATTTAAGTAGAAATTAGTAGAAAAACCAGCTTGTTTACCTTTTCTGGCTTCAACTTTGGATGTTTTGAACCTGCGGCTGAAAACCCGCTTCGATGAGCTTGTGGCACCGACACATGGGTCCCTTGGGGCTGGTCGTGACATCTGGGGGGGCTGGCTGCATCTTTTCCACCAGAAAGGTGCGTTGTCTCTCTTAACAGGCTACAGAGAGAAGGCTGATATTCAGCTACGGCTCGCTCCTCTGCTATGCCGACGGGAGGTGCGTCTTTCACTGTCATCTTTTGTTTTCAAAAATGACCTCATCAGTGTTTACCGGCTCTTCTTGATTGGTTGTCTAGAAATACCCATCCAAATGTTGTAAATTAAGTCAAAGATGCCCAGTTGTTGAAAAATGTTGGCGGTTTCAATTCAATTCAAATTCAAAAATACTTTATTAATCCCAGAGGGAAATTGATTAATGCCAGCCTATCCATGCTTAAGGTCCGTCGAGGGGGTAGGAAATCCAGCTAGTGGCATGCCTAGGCACGCTAATGGCTAGCCTTTCCAACGCTAACACCAGCCCGTCCAGGCTAACGCTAGCCTATCCATGCTAATAAACAGCAGAGGGAGTGTTTGGACCAGTCAATGAGCAGCCGAGGGCTGCTAGTCCCTAGCGTATCTAGTAGTAACGCCAGTAAAGGTGCTATTCCTCAGTAAGCAGCGCCAGCTTATCATTAATCAGATCAGTAGTTTGCTTCGGAATTTATATAGCCTCCTGCTGCTGGGCAGTAGTCTTAATTTTGGCCCCCATACCGTGCCATACATGAGAAACGGGGTGCATGCGTATCATTTAGCTGTGGTTAGTTTCATGCTGAGCTGGTCCTGTGTGTTGAAGCGATGTGACTCAGTGATGACTAAGTTTAATTTAAAACAGTTGACAGGTTTATTGCATCATTGCAATCAATAGTTTCTGATCAGTGCTCCTAGGTCTGCTCTGGTTGCTTGTACTCATTATATATGAGAACAGTCCCTTGTCTTTATGTCTGACTGTTTATCAGATTTTATCTTACCCATTGTTCTCTGGTGTGAAGCTAACCATGTGTGTGTCGCTGCCTATTGGCCAGATCTTCGTTGTAAATGAGAACGAGTTCTCAGTCGACTCGTCTGGATAAATAAAGGCTAAATAAATAAATAAATAGAGTTGATGGATGCTGGATAAACGAGAATTGAAGTAATGGACAGAACTTTGTTCTCCCAGAAAGAGCAAGAATTATTCATCCATGCCTACAAGGACTTCAAACGTATGAAAACTAAGATGGAGAACGTGTTCGTCAGCAATCGGAGGGTTGCTCAATCGACCCACGTCGCTCCTGGGAATTCTGCTGTTGTGTCCTTGGGCAAGGCGCTTCACCTAACCTGCCTGTGTTCTAGAGTAGACCAGAGACAGCAGCTTTGTGCCTGTGTACGTTCTGTAACGGCTTTGCTTGTTCAGGTGACGGGACCATGCTTCTGGTTGCCAGTAAAGTTTTAAGCAAAGACAAACCGGTGGTAGGAGTCAACACCGACCCTGAGAGGTAAAACGCTGATTTATTAGAACTCGTGGAAACAAAGAAACACGACTACAGCCCGGCTTCATGTGAGTTACTCTTGCAGGTCGGAGGGGCATCTCTGCCTTCCTGTTCGGTACACGCGGGCCTTCCCGGAGGCTCTGGAGAAGCTGTGCCGTGGTGAGTTCAGGTGCGTATTTACCTGTCGGCGTGTACACTCGTCTGGCTTTAGCTAAGATTAACAGACCAGTTTTAACCTGTGGCGTCTGGAATCAAGTCACATGGTCTCTAAAACCGAAGCTGCGTCTTCGGGCTAAATCCAGTTATGGAGGACGTCCCACCTGCTGGTGAACGTGTCTGGGATTACCTCCTCCTCTGATGCACAGGCTGCAGTAATCCTCACGCTTCACACAGATCAGTCACCCGCTAGGTCTCACACACACACACATACAGCAATAACAGGAGATAACCTGTAGACAAACGCCTATTAGCTCAGATCAAGTATTTTAGATCAAAGTGAAACATTAAAGCAGGAGGGACCCAAGAGCTGTTCTGTTGTGGGACGTCTCAACACCCAGAACCCTCAGTTATAACTGAGTGAATATGGCCGGGTTCTGGACAGGCCTGCAGCCATAGATCATTTTAATAATCCGGCAAGCCTGTATTCTTCCTTTGCTTTGAAAAATCGGTTGACTTGTAACCGAGCAGTACTAGTTGTAAAAACCAGTTCAACCAGCGTAACATTGAATTTAACTGCTGTCCATTTGAGCTGCTGCCTGCTAAAGGTGTTGAACACTCGTCTGCTGTGGTCTACTGGGAACGAGAGCCTTGTGACCTGTTTCCACACAGAGAAGTCAGCTGGAGGAGAAAGTAGTTTCAGGTAGCAGGATCTCCTCTGATTGGCTAACAGCAACACAACTCTACCACTGACTCTCTTTGCTCTGTAACGTTGATGTTTTTTCTCCACAAGTAACACAAGCCTGGAGGAGTTCTGCTGTGTGGTGGAGTTGCTAATGCTAACAGTTAGATTCTACTAGCAGAGACGCTCTCTGCTGTTTCCTGGATGTCAAACCAACAACAGCCTTCCTCATCGTGAGTCCAAATGGGTGAGCCCATGAATGTTAAGTGACAGTGTGACATCGATCTATCCATTGTGAGAGAATGGCCCTGTACAAGTATGCAGACGACATGGCATTGGTGGCATCAGTGAAGACATCGGAGGACCTGTCTAAATATCAGCAGGCAGTCAGTAATCTGGTCCAGACATTTGAAGACTTTCTCCTGGGGCTGAATATCTCAAAAACTAAAGAAATGTGCTGTGGGGCAGTCAGTGAGGCAGACACATCCCTGTTCGAACCCCTCAGCATACAGGGTCGGCCTGTGGAGCAGGTTCAGTCATTCCGGTATCTGGAAACAGAAATTGATGACCACCTGTCCTTTGCAAATCACAGCAACGGTGTCTACAGGAAAGCGCTGCAAAGACTCCACCTGCTAAGGAAGCTAAGAGCGCTCAATGTGAACAAGGACATCCTAACAATTGTTTATAAATCACTGATTGAATCCATTCTAACTTTCAATATCACAGCTTGGTATAACTTACTGTTAAAAACAAAACACAACTCTCACACATTGTTAAATTAGGCAGTAAAATTACAGGTTCACCTCAGATCCCACTTTCTGTTCTTCACGAGCGAGCAGCGCACAGGAAGGCTACCCTGACCAGTGCAGACTCAACCCATCCATTGAACCCACATTTTCAGTTACTTCCATCAGGAAGGAGGTTCAGGGTTCCGTTGGCCAAGAAACGTGTCTATAAGAAATCATTTGTTCCCACCGCAGTTACAATTTTGAATTCTTAGTTTTATTTTTTTACAACGATAACATTTTAATACCTTTTAATTGTCTTTTTATGTATTTGTGTGAATGCGATATGGATTGTATTGTAAGGTGAGCCACGTCAAAGGCGAATTTCTGCCTCAATTCGAGGTGGACAATAAAGTGTATCTATTTGTCTATTTATCTTATCTATCTATCCATCCACACATTTTCAATCGCTTATCTGGGGTCGGGTCGCAGGGGCAACAGCCTAAGCTGAAGAGGAAGCAGATAGAGAAGAGTAGAGGCCCCAGCACAGAGCCTTGTGGGACAGCATGGGTGAGGGAAGTTAAGGAGTCTGGGTCATTATCAGAAGAACAGGGTGGATGAAAAGCAGCAGAAAATTTGCTGGCTGAGTTCTCGTGAAGAAAACAAGAACAAACCAAACAGCGAGCAGGAAGTGACAAAGAAAATGCGATGGTGATCTGAAATATATGTGGCTACATTGTAGCTCATCTCCATCAGTGTGTGAATGTGTGTGTGAATAGATGAATGATGCACTGTAGTGTAAAGCTCTTTGGAGTCCTTACTCTGAGAGGCGCTATACAAGTGCGGGTCATTATCATAAACGTCCTCAGGACAAACACAGTGAGCATTTATACCCAGGGTAAAAACTAAATGAAAATGGGTTCACCTGACAGCCTGTTTCGGTGATTTAGGTGTTTCTGGCAAAAATTTTCAGTGGAATTTTTGGTGCATTCCTAACATCTGTTCCTGGGCCTTGCTCAGGTGGTTGTGGCGCCAGAGAATCCGTCTGCACCTGGAAGGAACGGGAATTAACCCGACCCCAGTGGATCTGCATGACCAGCAGCTGAGTTTGGAGCAGCACAACCGCGCTCACCGGATCACCACCACGGACACACACCAGAGTACGAGTCCGCCTTTGGACCAGGCCTGATCCTAGACTTTATGGCCCTTCTCCACCACCTTCTCAACAAGGCTTGACCACATGGGTCGGGGGTTTCCCTATCTGCTGGGGAGCCTCTCTAATTTGTGTTTGAGGCTTTAAGTCAGACTGAAGAGAAGAGACCCATAAACTGTGGAGTAACCAGTGACCCCGCCCCCAAGCTAACCAGCGACCCCACCCTCTAGCTAACCAGTGGCCCCACCCCCAAGCTAACCAGTGACCCCACCCTCTAGCTAACCAGTGACCCCGCCCTCTAGCTAACCAGTGACCCTGCCCCCAAGCTAACCATTGACCCAACCCCCTAGCTAACCAGTGACCCCGCCCCCTAGCTAACCAGTGACCCAGCCCCCAAGCTAACCAGTGACCCCGCCCCCTAGCTAACCAGTGACCCAGCCCCCAAGCTAACCAGTGACCCAGCCCCCTAGCTAACCAGTGACCAACTGTGTTCTGACAGTCCGGTTTGTAACCCAGTTCGGTGCATTTGAAACCTCTTTAGTGTAAAAGGTTACTGATGGAACCGAGCTGAGCGGCGCTGGTGGAAAAGACTCTTAAGACTTTTCTTAGCAGCAGCTTCTCCGCGTTGGGAAGTGTCTCCGCTTCTAATCCAGACGTGTGTTTCAGGATCAGGAATGCTGCATCAGACCGTCTCTGAGCCCTGCCTCCTCCCTGTCAGAAGTCTGAATGAGATCTTCATCGGAGAGTCTTTGTCCTCCAGGTACCCGAGCCCTCCCCCCTAACACTGCATGCATGTAATCCCGGTTAATCCCACCTCCCATCCCCACTCACAGGTGACCTCTCTGTCCACCACAGGGTGAAGGTAAAACCCTTCAAACCCCATGCTAACTTCTTGCTCCATAGGGCTTCCTACTATGAGATCTCTGTGGACGACGGTCCATGGGAGAAGCAGAAGAGCTCCGGACTCAGCATCTGCACTGGAACCGGGTCCAAAGCCTGGTGAGAGAGGCTTTGATTTATCATTCAAGCTGTGTTCTGAGGATCTGGTTCCTTCTGGAGAACATCATCAGAGTGTTATACGTGTCATTTCGTGTTTGGGACCTGCATGTTGAGGCTGGAAACCATCACCTCTCTGAGCCGAGATAGAACGGGACTCCCTGGTCTCCAGCATGTGTCCAGATGTTCCTGATGGTTCTGGTGGGTTAAATAAACAGGTTCTTCTCTGCAGGTCGTACAACATCAACAAGCTGGCTGAACAGGCTGTAGAGGAGGTGTTGAGAATCGGTACGTCGGTGTTTTCACGCAGATTCGGTCGGGAGTGAATCCGAGTAAAAACATCTGAATGTTGGAATCTTGTTTTCTTACAGGAATGTCGGAGGCTGGTGCCGATCTGCCCCTGAGCCCCGAGTTCATACAGAAGGGTGAGGGGTGTGTGTGTGCGTGTGTGTTTGTGTTTGTGTGTGTGTGTTCTGATGGTTTGTGTCTCTGAACAGTGACTGACTCCTACAACGAGTCTCTGGTGTTTAGCCCCGCCCAGCGGCGCCTGCTCTACAGCGTCAGAGAGCCCATCGTTAACAGAGTCTTCTCCAGCAGCCGACAGCGTGGCTTTGCCAGCAAGTCAGTGATGATTCTGTAGTCCTTTAACTTTGTTTATCCGAAGGTGCTCTGGTAGACCTCAGAGGACAACATGAAATACCAAGCCAGTGGTTCCTTGTGCCTCTTCCAATTCCAGATAAATGCAGATGGTTGTCAGGAAGGGCATCTGAGGTAAAACCCAAGACAAATCAGATATTCCAATCACAAACGGGATTTTTATTCCGGATTGGTGGAGGCTAGGGTCAACGATGGCTGCCACTGGTGCTGTTCACCTTCAGAGCGCTTGTGGAAACTGGACTCCTGTCGCTGTACGGTGGCGAGGAGGAAGGTGTGTTTGTAGGCAGAGAGAGTCTGGAGCCGAGAGTAGGAGCTCCTAATGTTGGGACCGTAGAGAGATTGTGGACCTAATGCAGAGAAGGAAGGTGGATGTATCACATGGTCAGTAACAAGTTTCCTATATAAGGAACCCAGCAGGTTGCATCGAGTCACTGACTAGTGTCAGAGTCTTTACAGCAATCCTCATACTAAGCAAGCATGCAGCGACAGTGGAGAGGAAAACTCCCTTTTAAAAGGAAGAAACCTCCAGAGGATCCACGACTCACTGGGGATGGAGAAGACAGAGCACACACGCATGCACACGCACACACACACAGGTTACATTGTGATTTCTTAGTAAATATTCTATTTGGTGAGAGATAAACTTTATTGTATTAATCCTAGTGAATCTATAATTAAACGGGTAAACTAGTAGTAGCACATTCAACGTCAAGGAAAGCAAAATGTTATTACCAGGAGAAGGAGAATGTTTAAGTGGTTAGCAGCAGTGTGCTAGACGATGGCCCCCTCCATGAGGCCACCACAGCTCAGCAGAACATCGTTGTAGCTTCTTCTGGGGAGAAAAACACTTAGAGAAACAATAAAGTTAACAGCTGAACTAGCAGGAAATAATACAGTTAAAGAGCAGATTGTAGAAGAAAGTAGTCGAGTGTGGAAAGTGTTCAGTGTGTCCTCCAGCAGTCTAAGCCTATAGCAGCATAACTACAGAGATAACTCTGGATAACCTAGCCTTTTAGATGGAGGCATGTTGGAGGCAGGGCAAGGGAGAGCCGTCTTTACTTGAAATAATTTATTCAACACTGGTCTACCTGTTCACCGATCTACCTGTTCACCGGTTTACCTGTTCACCAGCCTTCCGGTTTACCTGTTCACTGATTTAAAGTCTCGTCCTGTGTAGCTGATCAGCTGATTGTGTCTCTGGTTGTCCCCTCAGGGTGTGTGTCCGCTCTCGGTGTTGGGATGCCTGCATGGTGGTGGACGGTGGGACGTCCTTTGAGTTTAACGATGGAGCCATCGCCACAGTCAGCATGAGTGAAGAGGACCAGCTGAGGACGGTTCTTCTAGAGAACTGATCTGGGTCAGCAGAACTGGAGAGGTTCTGAAGGATGCAGCCAAAGGGGAGAACTGGGTTTTAGCCTCTGCTGCTGGTCCAGGTTGTCACGGGTCAGAGTCAGAACTTTGATCCTCAGCGTGGACAAAAAGGATCCCACCCAACGTCCTCCTGTGCCCTTGTCCTCACGTCCCCCTGTTCTCCTTTCTTTCTGTTCCCCCATCTGAACCGGCCCAATTCCACTTTAATCCTGATTGGATTCAGGATTTCTCCTGATGATGAGTCCCGATGACATCAGTCAGCGGTCCGGAGGATCACTTCCTGTTTTCCTTCCAGAAGTTAAAGCAGTGTTTGGTGGCAGCCTGTAGATCCCAGACTTGTTTTCTTTGGTCTTGGGTCTACGGATCATCAGAACCCACAGCGGATCCAGATGAGTCTTCAGAACTGGATCAGAACCACCACAACGAGTTAAAGGAAGTCTGGCAGATGGAAGCAAAATGGGAAGAGTTGAAGGTGTGATCTGGAGTTCTGGATCTGCCTGATTAGAACCTGTGTTGGGTTAGTATGATCAGAACCAGCGCCGTTTCTGGGCCAGCTACTCCAGAGTTGATGCAGACATCATACGTCATTCCTGGAGGTCAGAATCATTTAGATACTTCCGTGTTTGGTTCTTTTGCCTTTTCCTACGGTAACCGTTACTCCAGCTGTTCCTAACGCATCTTTGATGCATCATGACCGGTTCTGGCTTCAGAGGTCAGTTCGGGTTTTCCTGGCGGAGTATAAATGGACTTGAATGATAAAAACTGGTTGAGTCCAGATCCTGGTTCTGGTGGGAGGACAGAATTTAACTACTGCTTTTGTTTCTGTGGTCAAAGGGAGCAGGGATCTGAGCCCTGCCGGGATCAGTGCACTGCATCTGGCAAACCTGAGCCAAGGACGTTTAGAACTTGTATCAGAACCTGAAAATGAAACGTGGACATGGAGCAGTAGCATCAGAGAGCCTAAGAGACTTCAACCATCACACGTTCGGTTCTGGTGCTGCTCCTTGTCAACATTTCCACCTGAAACTGTTTGGTTTGTTAACGAGAATTCTTCTGTACATGGTGCCATATTCTATCCAGTGGGTTTGGGCTGGCTGAAGCCGAATCAGAACAGTTCTGTTTTAATAAAATCATTTTACAACCTCTGAGTCTGGGTCTGAGGGTCCAGCGGGCCAGGTCCCTAAGTTCAAACCACATCCAGATGGTTGGCTAGACATGAGGCGGAAGTGACGCATCTCGGTGGTTTCTCCAGGTTGCCAGGTCCGTTTGTTTTTACGGTGAATCTTTTTGGTTTCATTCCACATTTCCTTCATTTATCAGCCACCGGATTGATTTTGTTAATCATTAATGAGTAAACATGTTAACATTATAGTTTATTTCGCTTAAGTACCTGCTATTTGAAACTCAGCACTGTTAAACTGAGCTAACAGGCTAAAGCTAACCAGAACTAGCTGCTTCAGACTGAGTGGAGGCGGTAGTTTTAATGCCTGGTTTTCGAACGGCTTTACTTTATATAACTGAGGATTTAGAGGATCTTCGAGCTCCTTTACAGATCGGAGGAAAGTAAATTTAGTTGCCTGTTGTCACCGGATCTGGCCGCCCCGTTACCATGGCAACGCTGGTTAAAATCAAAATGGCCGCCAGAGCTCCAGACAGGTGCTTTTGGACCCCCAACTGTTGTTGAAATAGGTTTTTGGAGATGTTTACAGATGAAACTGTGGCGTCTGTGAGCATCGGCTCGCTGTGGAGGAGATCCCATCAGGAGGTGCTGCAGGCGGTGAGTTCTACTTCCGGTCCCGCGGCTTCAAGCGAACGCATGAACACAAATATGACTTCTGTTTGTGGCACAGAGGAGCTGTCAGACCGATGCTGTGCTCCGGGATGAAGCAGGAGTCCAGACCAGTTCTACTGCCTCCAGCTGCACGCAGACAGAACCGGAACCGGTCTGTCCGCAGAACCACGATGAGCCCGAGCCGACTGGGCTGCTGGACTTCCTGCTGAGGACCGAGGACCTGATGATCAGAGAGCTGGAGAAGAACACCAAGAGTCACGCTTTTGATGGTTTCCGGACAAACCAGCATGATCAGGACCAGCTGGTGAGCAGAACCAGAACCTAAGTATCCGAGAAGTCAGGATATAATAATAATAATAATAATAATAATAATAATGAGACATGACCTAAACTCAGACAGATGAGAGATAATATCTCAAAGTAAAATGAACAAGATTCTCATTTCATTCAGTTTATTCTTCTAGTGAAGACAAGAGTCGTTTCAAGGGTCTGACAGTGACTCCATGCAGGCCTCATGCTGAGCAAGCATGTAGCGACAGTGGAGAGGAAAACACTCTAGCTTTACTCTGATGCCTCATTAGCGCCAGTCCATTGTCCTCCTCTCACCAATCAGCAGTTATTTCCTAGAGCCCAAATCTGTGTGACATGGAAAATCTTACATCAGGCACAACAAAAGTACCTTATTTACTACAATATCCCAACATTTTGACCAAACTGCAAACATGAAAGACAAACGCTCAAAATGTCCACCAACACAAGTGTGTTTTATTGATAAAAAAGGAAATGAAAAATCTGCCAAAAAGATGCATAACACCGCGTTTCGTTTGTATGTTTTTCTGTAAGATGGTCCCCATGCGGACACCTGCACGTTGCTGAGTATTTGTGTGCCATTTGGGCCAAAACATCAACACCACACAAGAGGAAGAGCCATGAGTAAATGTACTTTATTTCTACACAGTACTGGGCTGTCCAGTACATCAGTACTGCTCCTGTAAAAGTAAAGATTCACAAAACTTCATGTAGCTGTAGTTGGTTATTGTGTTTGTTATGTTAAAGCTGCTTTCCGGAGTTTTCTCCTTTCAGAAATGATGTATGATTTGTCAGAAATCCGTAAAAGTGATGATCTCATCATATACTTTGGTAAAATGTAAGCAATACTTCTTTTTTTTTTTTTTTTTTGCTAAGCACGCCCCCTGCCCCGCAGAGCTCCATTCAGTAGGAAACTGAGCGCCGACCAGAACTAACCAATAGCGTTAGACTACCGCTTACTGGCAGGATGGGCTGGGGTCTCCGTGCTCTGGGGGACATTTTGACAACAGAGGTGCCTATTGGGGCCAGTGGGGGAGCTGGCTCCCTGGAAGGCTTAGCCCAACCAGCCGTTCCTCCCCATCCCCACACGTTTCTCTCCTCCTGCTCCCTCACATCATCACACAAACATGCACATAGGACCTTGGGGGGTGGACCACTTTTCCACAGTCCTGTGGCAACCTGCCCCCCAATTTTATTTGCACCTTAAACACTTCCACCGACGATATTCCACGCAAACACACACTTTGGGAGTGAGCACATTCAACAGCATTTGGCAGGGGGATTTCTCAGCCTCCTCCCGGGTGCCGGTGCCCACTTCCAATTTTAAACCGCACTTAGACACCGAGGGCTGTGGGTGCAAGTGGGGTGGTGCGGTGGCATCAGCTGGCATAGGCCAGACGATATGTCCCCACACTACAGGTCTCAAGTTCAAATTTGTCCACTTAAGCATATAAAGACAAGTACACACACACACACACACACACACGTTTCTTCACTAAAACCGGTTCTGATGACATCACCAGGAGGCCTTGTGGGTAATGTAGTTCTGTCTACAGGTCTCCTGCCTCCATCGTCTTCAGCATCCTGACGCGAAGGACAGCCGTCTCCATGTCTCCAGCGTGTCGTGGAGCCACACGGGTTCCGTCATCGCCTGCTCCTACGGCCGGTGGGTTCTGCTCCATCTCTAGAACCAGGTCCAACAGGCTGGGTCCAGGTTCTAGTTTTCTAATAACATGCACTTGAAGAGGTCAGGACCGTTGTGGGTTTGGGTTACCAGAACTTAAGAGTCTCTGAAGAGATGTTGGGACGGACCGGGACCAGAACTGGGGCTTTAGAATCCACTCTGGTTCTACAGAACCTCCTCAGGTCTGTGGCATTTCATTGGTTTTGTTTTGTTCTGAACAGAACCGATGGTGGAGACTTGAGCACCCAGAGGTCCTGGGTGTGTTTGTGGAACCTGGATCGTAGGAAACTGAACCCCACACAGGCCGACCTGGTTCTGGATGTTCCTGCAGCCGTCACGTCTCTGAGCTGTCACCCCACCCGACCCGCTCTGATCGCAGGTCCCCAGAACCTCTAAATCCATTTAGTGTACGGTACCAACCTGGTTCTGGAGCGTTTGGGCCCGTTTAAACCGTGTGGTTCTGTTGGTGCAGGAGGTCTGTTCAGTGGAGAGGTGGTGGTCTGGGACACCAGCCGGACCCAGGATCCAGTTCTGTTTCAAACTGGGACGAGTGCAGACAGCCACAGAGACCCGGTCTACCAGGTCAGGTCCAATCACATCTAAGATCCAAACTGGTCCAGAAGTCTCAGAACCGCTGTCCTGGCTCCAGGTCTCCTGGGTTCCGCTACAGAAGAAAGGAGAGTTTGGAGTGCTGAGTTCTGGTTCTGGAGGAAGAGTTCTGGTGTGGGTGGTGGACTCGGACCAGAACAGGCTGGTTCTGAACGCAGCATACACCTTGAGAAACCAGCAGCTTCCCCACAGCGCCGGTTCCAAGGTGAGTCTCAGAACCAAACGGGCCGAGCTCAGCTGGGTCCGGACTTGGACGTTAGAGCTGCTTTCAGAACCACAAACCCAACTGGACCGCTCCATTGGAGACTGAAGACAGTTGCTTCCCATCAGAACCGGGCCAATGAGTCTCTCCAGCTGAATCCAGATGTTTGCTATGGTCTGCAGGTCCGTGGCAGCGGTACCGTGGGGGTGTCGGCTCTGGCTCTATCTCCGTGGGACCCGGACACCTTCCTGGTCGGTTCTGAAGGAGGCTTGCTGCTCCGGTGCTCCTTCTCCTCCCAGGTTCTGGCTGCAGGTGCTCCCGAGGACCAGAGCGTTGCTCCAAGAGCTCCAGCGGTCTTCTCCTTCAGAACCACCAGTGGTCCGGTCCACTCCATCCACTGCTCCCCATTCCACAGGTAAAGGTACACCCCGGCAGGTCCAACAGACCGGTACTGGTTCTGATTTGTGACCCACTTGCAGGAACCTGTTTGTGAGCGCTGGAACGGACGGTCTGGCCCGGATCCACTCGCTGCTGCAGGCCGACCCGCTGCTGTCTGTCCAAGTCTCTGACTCCTACGTGTTCCAGGTGGCCTGGTCTCCATGGAGACCGCTGGTGTTGGCAGCCGCAACGGGGAGAGGTGAGTCAGCTGGTTCTGGTCGGGTTCATCTGAGATGAGTAGAACCTGAAGACTGACTCTCTTCTCCAGGGAAGGTCCAGATCTTCGACCTGGCTCGCAGGTCCCTCAGACCTGCTGCTACCATGGCAACAGGAGGACCCGACAGCACCGCCACCTGTCTGGCCTTCAACCACCAGAACCCCCGACTGGTGGCGGCGGGGAACTCGGACGGGTCGGTCAGCATTTGGCAGCTGAGTTCTGATCTGACGGATCAGAACCCAACAGAGATCAGTCAGCTGGAGCAGCTGGCCAATCAGGCGGCAGAGTGAATTGTTAAATAAAGACTCGTTTCCAGAACCAGAACCAGCAGATTTATTAAAGCACAGCAGCAGCAGAACATCCACAAGAAGCAGGAGTCATGCAGGGTGTGTGTGTGTGTGTGTGTGCGTGCGCGTGTGTGTTTAACACATCCTGGTTGGTCACTGGGGGGTGGGGGGATCAGTTGACGAAGAGCGAGCGCGTGAACTCGACGAAGTCGAAGGCTGACGGGATTTCTCGGCCTTTGCTGTCCAGGAACGGCTTCATGTGGGACAGGCAGTAGTCGGCCTGCTCCTTGGTCAGGTTCTGGTAGAAGGAAAAAAAGCATCAGAACCGGACCTGGACTGAACCCAGACCCAGAACGCGGTCGAGAACCCGGCCCACCTGGTAGAGCTCCTCCTTGGTGACGTAGGGTTTGTTCTCGGTGCTCAGGGCCCGGAAGGCGCTCTCGATCTCCTCGCTGGACTTGACGTTCTCCGTCTCCCTGCTGATCATGAAGGCCATGTACTCCTGCAGTGACACGTTCCCGTCCCTGCACACAAACGGACCCGGGTCAGCCAGCAGAACCATAACCCCCCCGAACCCTCTCAGGTACGAGCCTGCACCTGTTTGGATCCACCGTGTCCAGGATGGACTCAAACTCCGGGTCGGGTTCTCCCTCCTCCACCATGGGAAGGTCGTAGCCCAGAGACCGGAGACAGGACTTGAACTCCTGGTGGTTCAGACGACCCGACTTCTCCTTATCGAAGTGTCTAGATGGGATAGGACCGGTTAGACATCAGACTGGAATACACGAACAGAACCAGAACCGTATGCTTACTTGAACATCATGCTGAACTCCTTCAGGGCCTCCTCTGTGACTCCAGTCGTGTTCCTGAAACAGAACCATAAGTGTTTGTGTCTGCTCTCCAACGACCCGCGGGTCCGGTGAGGAACCGGGCCGGTACCTGGCCTGGATCTGCTGCTCCAGGTTGTGCTGCATCCTCATTCCCAGCTGGTCCAGCTGGTCCCACTGCTGGGCCAGGCCCACCGTGCTGTGCTCCGTGTACTTGTTGTCTAGGATCAGCGCCTCCTCCATGGCTGCTCCCAGGTCCTCGATCTTCTTCAGCTGGCTGCGCATGGCCCGGATCTCCTGATGCTTTCGCTGCACACACCAGAACAACCATCAGAACCAGTCTCACTGGGCCCAGACCGGGGAGTCCCACAGGACCGGACCAGCAGCAGGGTTACCTTGGTGGCCTCCAGCTGCGACTCCAGGGTCCCGGACTCTTCAACCATACAGGACCTGAAACCAACAACAGCTGCAGTTAACAGCAGAACCACATCTGGACCCAGAACCCGGCTCCTGAAGCAGAACCAGGCCTGGACTGGGGTTAGTATACTAAAGAGGGTCTGGACCAAAACCCGAGCTGGCCTCGTCAAACGTAGTAACCTGCTGCTAAGCTACGCTGTCAAGGTCAGCTAGGGGTCAGACATCAATAATCAAACACAGAGAATGAGGATATATTAACCCATCCAGAAGATACGTCCTGGTCATCAGCAGCAGATTCATCCAGAGGAGCAGGAAGAGAAAAGAGAAACGTCGTTAGATCAGATCTATGCAGGACCAGGACCTGGACCAGAACCCTGGATGGTGAAGTGTGCTGGGCTGGGTCCTGAGTTGATCCTCCTCAGAGGATCAGAACCATATTCAGACCTGGTCTCCTGCAGCCACTGGTGGAAGGCATTGGCGTGCTGAGCGAACTCCTGCCGCAGCTTATCGTTCTCCTCCTGCCTCCTCTGCTCCTTCTGCAGCTCCAGCTCTCTCTCCTGTTGACACAGTATCGGGTTCTCCTGTCAGACCTGCAGGAACATCCTGGTGCTTCTCTGGGTCAAGCTGTTTTGATTCTGACTCAGCCCAACTTTCAGTAATTAATGTCCGTTACAACACACGTTCCTTCTGCTCCGCCTTAACCTGAACGGGTCACCTGCAGCTCGTGTGTAGTCACACGTCTGCAGAGGTTCTGAGGTTCTGCCTCAGACAGACTGTTTAAATGTTCTGATGGATCCGCTCCGCTGACACATGAATAACCACGAGCGCTACAGTTAAAATGTAGTTGATAACTATATTAATATTGTTTAAAAGTGTGAATTTGATCATTTTTGTTGCATTTTATTTTGAAAAAGGGAAGTGCCGGCTCTTCTGTTCCTGCAGCATTTTCACGCCTCTCTACAGAAATATCATTATTTAAACTTTGTTTTATATAAATGAGTATTTCTTTTAAAACTGCTTCTTTTCATTTGGTCGGAGGTTAATTCCTGTTGAATTGTATTTCTGCAGCGGCCATTTGAACAGCTCTAGTGGTGGGTTTGTGTCAGAGCTGTAAACATGTTTTGTTCTCTTTGACATTTACTGCAGAAGCTACAAATGCTGCCAGAAGATGTGTTCTGAGAGAATTTTATGTCTTCTGATGGAAAATAAAAGTGGAGAACCAACTTTTAAGTCAGGACCGTTTCTCTACTTCAGCCAAGTTTAAATCAGGAAACAACCAGAAGTCCTCCAGACGCTTAACGACAGAAGGATTTCCACTCAACACCGCTGTTGGCGCTCCTCGTCAGTGCCGCTTGCACACCCACTACGGATGTCCCGTTCCGATATCGGCCCAAAAACACTATCAGATTCAATCCGACTGCATCAAAAATCTCAGATATAATCGGTCCGTTACGGTTCACGTTTTCACAACCAGAGGTTAAAAAAGTCTTTTTTTTAACACTTACTGTTATTGTTTCTTGTTCTCTGATCAAGCCTTTCATACGTTCCATGCAACAAACAGGTATGGGTAGGTATGACTGGTGCTGGTATCGTATCATATTGATATCGTTATCGTATCTGATTGATATTGGCATCGTATCGGACTGATATCATATTGGATTGATATTGGCATTGTATCGGATTGATAATGAATTGATATCACAGCGTATCGGATTGATATCGGTATCATATCTGATTGATATCTGCATCGTATCGGACTGATATCATATTGGATTGATATTGGCATTGTATCGGATTGATATTGAATTGATATCACAACGTATCGGATTGATATTGGATTGATATCACAGCGTATCGTATTGATATCGGTATCGTATTGATCAGTATCATATTGGATTGATATTGGCATTGTATCGGATTGATATTGAATTGATATCACAGCGTATCGGATTGATATCGGTATCATATCTGATTGATATCGGCATCGTATCAGATTGATATCACAACGTATCGGATTGATATTGGATTGATATCACAACCTATCGGATTGATAGCGGTATCGTATCGTATTGATATTGGTATCGTATTGGGAGTGAAACTGTTGTATCGAGACATCCTTAAGGCCCGTCAGCAGCGAGAGGTGGCGGAGGTGAGAAAAGGCTCAGATGCGCTGATGGAGATCCTTTCTTGACGTTACTCTGATATGTTCTCTGTGTGTAACGTGTAAAATATTTGTCAATAACAAACTAACTCACAGGAAAACAAACAAATTGCTTCCTGTAAAAACAACAACTGTAACGGCTCAGCCCTTTGCCAAAGGTCAAATCATTCGTCCCACCGCCCAACCCTATTATTACGCACCTTGATGATCTTCTGCAGGTTCCTCCACGTCTCCTCCAGAGCCTCCATGGTGAACCAGGTGTACGGGTTGGACACCACCTGGTAGCTCTTGATCTGCTGGTCCAGCTCAGCTAGCTGGTTGAAGTCAGCCTGGGCGGAGCTCAGCGAGGAGCGGAAAGCCTCG